TTTATTTTGGAAGGAAGACTCCTGTACCAACTCCTATGGATTCTGGAGTTAGTTGGTATCTATGTGGCTTTGGACAATGGCTCTGGTCTCTGGGGCTTCTCTGTCAATGGGGATGCTAACGGTCCCTGGCTCGCTGAGAGGGTGTGAGGGTTAGAATATGATTCTTACAAGGTTCTTTGGGGAGGCCTGGCAAATGGTAACTTCTCTTTAAGTGCCAGTCATTGTGACCTGATGAAAGGTCCCCATTGGCTGGAATTCACTGGAAAGCAGAACAGAGTTTGGGGGGCGGAGTCCTCTCCAGGATAGATGTCTGTTCTCTTCTTCTCCCTTCCCTGATTTTGGCAGATGTTGGCCTGTTTGCTGATTAGCGCTTCTTCCAAACTGCCTTGTGCAATTCCATTACGCAAGGCTGCCGCGGGGGAAGAGGGCACCGATTGTTTCGGTCCCTGTCATCAGAGAGGCCGTGAGCGCCATTCCTGTGCAAACTGCGCTGCTGTGTGAACTGGTGGAACGTGTGGCCGATGTGTCCACTGCAGAGAGGGCTCTTGGGCAGTGGGTGGGGAACACACCATCTCTTGGAGGGGGCTGCTGTCGTCGCCTTTCAGATCAATCTGATGCCAGGTGGTTTGCAGAAGCAGCTCTGCCCCAAGCACCAAGGTGTCTGCCGGTGAACTCCACAGCCCACCTTGCACCTGTCTTGTGGCAGGGGAAGGAAGGAGAGGGAGTCATGGCAGCCATTTATTCCACCCCCTCCCTGACCCCTCCCTGATGAAACATCACCCTGCCTGGGGTATTCAAGCCCCTGGACTTGATGGCTGGCTCTGCCTTTGGGGAGTGTGTGCTCTGGCTAACAGACCCCCCAGGAGTAATCAGGAAAGCTGTGAGGTTTGAAGAGGCCCCTGTCTTTCCTTTTTGCTACATTGGCTCACTTCAGATTACCTCTTTGTCCCAGGAGTTCAACTCTGGCCACTGCCCTCCTTCCTGGCCTTTGGGGTTCCAAGCCGGATCAGCTAAGTGCCCCGTTCCCTTTCATGACTCTACTTTTTGTGTACATTAATGCATTCAGCATCTGCCGTGCAATGTCCTGGCATCGATAGGTTGTGATAAAGCAATCTTAGAATGTCCCCTGCTCTTGCCATCATTGAATATGTGGATACGCCATGAATCTGTGTTTATTTTAAAATACATTCCATAGTTACATCTACTTGAAGACAGGAATCTATCCTTTCTTTTAAATAAGCATGCATATTAAAGCAGAGAAACCTGAAAACTAAACATTAATTGTATCATGTGTCCTTATCAGAACGTAAGTATTATACCAGAGTCCTAGCTGATGCATTACACTTGTCAATATGCGGATTTTTTTTTTCCTTTACAACGTATTGTTTATCAGAAACCTCTGTACTTTTCCTTTAGAGGAGTCAATATTCATTTATATTCTGTGCTGACAGCTACAAATTGATGACTAGCAGTTATCAAATAAATGTTGATGAAAAGAGGCTACTTAACATTTTCATCCCAACAAGGGTTCTGGAAGGATGGATAATTTAGATCTCAGGGCCTCCGCTACAAACACACAGCAACTGCTTCCTAAATCCCACCTTTCTCTAGTGGAAGATTGCACCGCAAACCTGACAAATGACTTCTGAAAGAGAAAGATGCACCCTTATTACAAGGATGCTCTTAGCTTAATCCTGAACAAGAATCCTAGGTAATTTTACATACACTAGAAAGATGGATGGCACAGTTCTCCTCTGGAAGCTCACAAATGTTTGACTAGATCAGAAATGGCGTTCAGGCATGATTGAAGATTCTGCTGGGTTTCCCAGAAATTATCAGTCCCGTGTCAACACCCTGCCTCATTGCCATCACAGGGGACGGAGGTGCTGCTTCCCCGAAGGTCCCGTGATCAGCAGCTGCTTGCAACCTACTGATAAATTGTTCTCAAAAAAAAAAAAAAATCACTTAGGGGAACCCACAGCTGCAGCCAGTGTCTATATGTCAAGGTGTTATTATTTTATCACAGTGGATCAGTAGCAATGGTGACAGATATTTTACACCAGAGTTGTTAACATTACTTCCTTCATACGGCTCTTTCATCTTTTCTGAATTATGTAGCGATGCCCCCAAAAGTGGCGTGAAAGTCATTTGATGGTGATTAAAGTGCTTCTTTAAAAAATTTTTTTATCAGTTTAAAAATGTTTCATCTTGTATCAGCAGTGCCAACTTGTTTACTAATGAGATCTCGCTAACGTGGCTCAGTCTCATGCTGATGATACACAGACCAAAAAGCTGATGAGCGAAAAACAAGAACTTGTTATTAAACTGTCGTCACATCTGATCATAGAAAGATGTCACTCAGAGCTTGCCATTAGGATAGCTGGAAAGAGAATTCCCCAAGAAGCCCAAGGAGTAGCGGGCATGGGGCCAACAGATATTGTCCAGCATGGCAGGACCATGCCAAGTCAGAGGGAGACTTTGCCAAATGTATTCAGCTGATCTTTGGAGAAGGTGATCTTGCTTTCAGGGGCCCTCCTGTGCTGTTTCTCAAAGCCAGAGCCACCGGCAATGAAGTTTAGATTATATGCCACTCCAAACCTGGTGGCAGGAACCAAAGCCAACTCTTGATAAGAAACAAAACAAAACAAAAAACTGGGCTTTCTGAAAGTCATGGTTTTTGGCATAGTAGCCAAATGTCAGCTCACCCAAAATGAGGCCAGTGGCCATGCTTGCATATTCCATGCTGGGAAGGTACATTTCCCTGCTCTCCAAAGTGACTACAAAGTTTCTTTGCAGAAATAGCAGTCCATCAAGGCCAGAGGGCAACACAAGACCATTTTAGATGCGCAGAGTGGCAAAACACAACCTTGAATATGTGGATACAACATGGGTTTGAAAGGGTTCTGCTTTGCTTTCCCAATTGGCCTCCTGGGTCTTAGGGCCTGTGGAAGGCCAGTCTGGTGATGCACCAACACTGATATCATGACTTCTCAGGGATTGGGGAAAAGGGGCTAGACCTTGGTATGAACTGACTGCATTCTCGCCCACTTGGAAGTCAATGGCAAACCACCTGACCGTGACCTGGTGGGTTTTGCAGCTGCCAAGTAAAATGGGAACCCAAGACAGACTACCCACAATTGCTGCAAACACCATCTCCACACGAACTCTCCTGGAAACCAGGGAGGGGGATGTTTGGCTTAGTTATCTGGGTGAACCTTGTAGTCCCCACTTCTTCTTTTCTGTCCCTTTATGTCCCTGTTCCAGCTTGGGGTGCAGGGTAGACCACTGGAAGGTCTTCAGGTAAATGTGCCAGGTGCTAAGCTGGGGGTTATTGAGACTAATAATTCATCAAAGGGAAATTTGGATGACCCGAACTCACTTCCATTAGACTCTGGCCACACAAGTGAGTTGGGAAAAAAAACTGCAGAAGCCAAGGCTTCAACAGGCTGTTTGGGGAGTGGGCACAGTGAGGGGGCTGGGGAGGAAACAAACCAGTGACTGTTTAATTAAGTTCAAGTCCTGTCGGCTCAAATTCCAGACTAATGGAACTTGTCCCGTGGAGTTGAGCAGCCAGGTGTTACCAAAGCTTGTGTCTCACACTTGACACCTGTTCCACAATCTAGTCACTTGGCTGCATTCAACCGTTCCATGGTCGGTCCAATTCAAAGGTGACCACTGACCCTGACCTTGAAGTCAAAATAAAACACAACATCAACAAAACAAGTCTGCTTTATACCACTTTCCTAAAATCATAACACCTTGGGGTCCTGGTTCTTAGCATGGCCCTGGCCCCTGATGATTCTGAGTACAATCACAGCAAATGCAAACCAAATCACCATTTAGGCAGATGCCCCTCTGAGAAGCAACCTGCTTTTACACTGTGTAGGGGCTGGAAAATGGTGACCTTTGGGTGACTGGGGATATTCATTTCCCCCACAATCAAACATCCCTAATGTTTTCCTCAAGGCGCCCCATCTGCAGTCACCTGTTCCGGTCCTCTTTGGCAACCCCCTCCCCATCAGCTGATAATTAGTTGATGCAGCAATGGCCGTGATACGCATAAATAATCATAAGGTGCCAGGTAAACTGTATTGGTTTTAAATTAGAGCCATGCGTATCGTGTCTCCCCATGAGCAGCAGCCTATTATTTTTAATTATGGCCTGCAAAGCAAAGTGATTTCTTGCCCTCTTTACAGCATCCTGGCAGTATTCTGTCAGTCGAGATGACGGGGTGCCCCATCAGCACACATATCCCCAGCCACAGCCCCAACTGTCACATGCCAGGTGATGGAGAGTGATCAATGGCATTCGTTGCAACTTGCCTTTTGAAGTGCGCCTGAAGGAAATACACCCCCTTAGTCACTGTCCCATTGTAAATCCAGGACAAATACGGCATTTAGGAACAGTTTTTTTTTTTTTTTGGACATATTAACGTGTGTCTGTGTGGGCATGTGTGCGGAGCATGTCTCTGTGTGTTCTAAACATTCTAACAGCCTAGCAGACTCTTCCCCAGCAGCACCATGGGCAAAGAATAAAGGACCGATCTGCCTCTAGCCCCACTCGGGTTTTCTACCTGATGGGCTGTAATTAAGAGTGAATAATCCAGACAGAAAGTTCTAGAAAGATCTAAGTGTCAAATTACATTACACATTGGGAAGCCGAGGGTCGATGGACGTGTGCCTATGTGTTAGGAAGGATTCTGTCTTTTCTCTTCGCAGAAGAGGCACCTGGCAGGAGGTATTGACCAGTGTCTTTATTTTCGAAGCTTCTTCCTGTGGGAGGGGTGGAAAGTCACACAAGCTTTCCAAGTGGAGTTTGTGAACTTGTCTTCCCATGACGGTCATGGTCATGGGCTTCGAGCTCAGTACCCTTGACCATGTGACATCCAACTCGGGTGACCCGGGCGGAGGGAGACTGGCTGGTCCCTAGTCAGAAGGACATCTCCCTTGACTTACACATTCTCTTTCTTTTTTTTTTTTTTCTTTCACCTTTGATTCCAGCAACAGGGAGCTGCCACCACGGTGTACTGCGCAGCGGCTCCGGAGCTGGAGGGCCTGGGAGGGATGTACTTCAACAACTGCTGCCGCTGCCTGCCCTCGCCAGAAGCCCAGAGCGAAGACACGGCCCGGGCGCTGTGGGCGCTCAGCGAGAGGCTGGTCCAGGAACGCGTCGGCGGGCAGTCCAGCTAGGAGCTGGGGCGACGATGGCTCCCACGCCCCTGCACCTGTGCGGCACCACTGGCCAATGCCAGCCCCTCCCACTTAGCATCCTGGGGGCTTCCACGCCCCTCCAGCGCAGATCCACAAAAGAAGCAATTGCAACAGAGCGAAAAATGTTAAGCACCATGGGGAAGCAGGGAATCGTCGCTTTTCTGGGGTCAGGGTGGGTGTGGGTCCCTTGCTTTCTGGTGGTGGCCTGATGGGAGGGGAAAGCTTGATGGGTGTGCAGTTCTTTCCCTCACTGTAGAAGCATAGCAACTCACTCTCAGTTTTGGAACAGCCTGGTGTGTCCCCTTATCCCACAGGGCCACCACCATGGCCATCATTATAGTCAGAGGCTGGCTTTCTCCTGCTTAGGGAAGAACAAGCAAATGCCCATCCTGTCATGCTGCAGAGACCCAGGAAACAGTTATTCATTCCACCAAGTCTGAGGCAGCTTGACAACTTCCTGGAGAGAATCTCAGAACCTGGGTCTAGCCATCTGAAACGGGGACACCCAGAGACGCAGTGCAGTGGGCGGGGCTAGCGGGCAGAAGAGTGCCGGTCCTCCACTCCCTTGCCAAAGCTATCCAAAAAATTCTTTAGAGATTATAACCCATTTTGCAAATCATTCCTTAGCTACCTAGATGGGCAAGATGGGAGGGAGCGTGTCCTCAGGGGTACATGGAATATTCTTGGGGTGGGGAGTAAAAATACTTCCCTCATTCTTCCCTCGAGGGTTCCAGAACAGCCCAGTGGCTGGGTTTCCCGCCTGCTGCTGCTTCCTCCTGTTCCTCCCATCCCATGCTTAATAAAAGAGCATGCTTGGCTATTTCACCTGAAGTTCGTTTAAAGTTTCTTTAAAAGTCCCTATCGTCTCTTTAAAAGTCTGTGTCAGTTTTTTTTTTTGTTTTTGAATTTTTTTTTTTTTAGAAAAGAAATCTAGAGGAAAAATAAAGCGCTTCTGTAGACGCCAGGAAGACACCATTCTTGCTTCTTCTCTGAGTTCGTGTTGTGTTTTGTGCTTTGTGGCTGTCCATGGGCCAAGTTGTCTCACGCGGTTAGCATGCCAGCGTCGTATTTTCTGTTAGAGAAAGAAAGAAAAAGAAAAGTGACTACCGTTTGATTTCACCTGAAGAGGCTCTTTATTACTTACGCAGGGTTACTGCAGCCCTGGGAGCTCGGCTTCCCGGTAGGCACCCAGCTCGTGGTGATGGAGTGTCAAACCAAGGAGGTCAGCCAGGGACTCTTCCCTTTCCATTGACCTGCCACACCCTTAAGACGTCCCCTAGGTCTCAGAGACCAAGTCTTCCTGCATCCTCAATCCACCCGACAGTCATCTTGAGCTAGATTCTGGGAATTCAGAGTTTAGGTAAGGGAGTGAGGACAAGAGGAAGTCCACTCTGGCATGAGGGAGAGATGCTTTTACTGAAGTACTGAGACCCTGAGGGTGGCATGTGTGTCCTGTCCCCCTTCCTGAAAACGGTAGTGTCAGTCTAGGCAGCACCATGCATCAATCTCTGGGCCTCCACCCAGTGGGACATCGTCGCTCTCCCCTAGCCCAGGCCTGGCTACTGCCTCGCGTCAGCTATGCTGTCCCTCAGAAAATCCTTATTATTCTAGGACCGTTAAAAGTACGAATCGGATAATGTCACCTTCCTGACATCCAGGTAACCCCACTTACATGGGGTCATCACAGAAGACCCAGCCCCAGCTGAGCCAGCCCAGAGAAGGAACGCCACAATGAACCCACAAGAAGTGCAAAAATTAATGAAATTGTTATTGCAAGCCACTTATTTTCAGGATTGCGTGTTCTACAGCAAAAGCTAACCACTCCAACGTCCCGTTTCACTGAGCGAAGTCTGCATTTTCCAGTGGTGGCCTGAGTTCTCTCATGAGCTGGTCCTCGGGCACCTCTCTCCTCCCCGATGGGCACCTCCCCTGCTCTGCTAGGAGCCGCGCTGGCTTCCTGTGTCCCTCCAGCAGGCCACCTGGGCCTTCTCCAGGTCTCTGTACACCTGTTATCCCGGCTGAAAGCTTTCCTCCCGGAGGTCTGGATGGCCTCCTCCATCGCTGCTTCCTGATCTCTGTTCAAGTGTGACCTGTGTCCAAAGAGGTGACATTCCCAGCCACTCCACTTGCGCTGTCACCACAGTCAGCCTCCCCTGCCCTTATTGTCATATGAAGACAATACTCTTGGTCATATGACGAGTTTCTTCACTGCCCTTCTCCACCCTATATCAGAGACCCCATGGCATTTGTCTTCTTCATAGTGTGGCCACGTGCCTTGAACTGCTCCTGGCACATAGTAGGTTTCATAAGTAACCTCCAGGGGAAGGATCCTTCTTGCCCACCAACGTTTCTGTTCATGAAAGTAATTTCCACCATTGTGACAACTGCGAGCTGCACACCTCGCCAAACTAGCCTCAGTGCCCCGTCTAATTTCTAAGGTGACCGCGTCCTGCCAGGCGATGCCCACTTCCTGTCTTACACCCGAAGACACTGAGGCCAAGAGGTTTCAGAGTTACCGCTGTCCACATGGTGCACACGTCAGTAGAGCCGTGATTCCTACCGTGGTGGTTCGATGTCAAGGCCAGGCAGCTTCTCTGCACCAAAGCCACCAGTCCAACACAGGCCTCAAGTGTCCCTCTGGTAGGATGCACCACCTAGATGTCTCAGGCTGGGCAGAGAGGTGACTTTGCCGGTCTGACTCTAACTCGACCTGTCACCTTCGGCACCGGGGCAGAAGTCAGGACAAAGACGATGCTGGAGCAGCATCAGCATCGGGGGTGTCCAGGATGCCAAGGAGAAGCAAAGGGAGAGTGCTGGCCTCCTCCTCCTGTCACTGACTCCTGTGCGGACCTGCTTCAGGCTGATGAGACGAGGCTGGGGGGACGGACCAGGGGAGATGAGGAGCCCCACCTCAACAGTCCCCAATTTCGTGTAGGCCAGGCCCTCACACATTCCTTCACATTTCCATTCCACAAACGTGCCGAGGGCTACATTCTGGAAATTCAGTTCTGGGTAAAGCCCCGGAGTCCCTGCCGTAAAGACCTTATATCTTCCGTCTGCAGGAGTCCTCCCAAGACGCAAGGCCCTGGTCATGTCTACAGAGCTCTCTAGGTACTTGAAGATGAACGGAGGCCCTGGACAATGGCCAGGCTTCCTCTCGTCCACTTCTTCCTGAGATCAGTGTGACCATTGCTGTGGGGCCATTTCCCTCTGCTGGACATATCACTGTCATTTCTTTGGCTAATTCTGTCAGTGATTTCTGGACACATGAGCAAATGTGCACGACAATTTCTGTTTGAGCTCATTCCAAGGCCAAGTCTGTCTTTCACCATATCAAATGTACCTAGATATGTGAATACATATAAATTACTACTTATTATAATAACAATCCTACTCTGTCATCACCAGTGCTACTAATTGCCAGTAGTGTTTATTGAGAATCTACTCCGTGCCAGTTGAGAGTGTAGGCAAATCACACTTACCTTTTCCCTGTGTGCTCAGAGGATGAAACTGAGGGTCAGGGAGTCAGAGCGGCCTCCCCTCTGCCCCACAGCAGTGAATAGTGGAGCCAGGATTTGAGGCCAGCTCTGCCTGCCTCAAGCTGGTGTGCTTTCTGCTACCCTACGGGTGGCCCGGAGACAGCAGAATGCACATCAGGAGTGAATTATTCACAACGGAAGGCTGGTTGACTTCTTGCCTGAGGAGGGGACTCTGGCTGGTGCTCCTTCTGGTGGGTCGTGCCTGCTATAAACGTGACAAACCACCTTGCACATGCCATTTATCCGACGATATTGGCTCCAGCCCCCCGACCCCAGTGTTCCCCAGCAGACCCTCACACCTGGATGGATTGCCTATGTCTGCCTCTGGCCTCTTTTCCTTCTAGTGGACACAGGTTCTGAGCTCTCCCAATGCCACGGAATCCACCAAACAGCACGAAGAGGCTGGGTCCTCCGTGGTCCTTCTCTTCTGAGTTCCCCTCTCTTCCTACGTTTCATTAAACCCTAGAGGCAGCCGGTCTCCACTTTCACATCTAAATAAGAGGGACTTGCTGCAGTTTATCAATAGGAAACAAGAAATGGAAGCGTCCCCTGGCAGAGGCTGTACCCTGTGGCTTGTGGCTTTTGCTCTTTAAAATGAGGCGATGGTTCATTTTGTTTTGAACTTCAATGAAGGAGGCCTGATTCCTTTCATCAAGGTCAATGCTAAGCGAGAAAGCTTGGCTTGCACAATTGCTGCCCATTCTGGTCACCAGCGGTTACCCTTTTTTTAGAAGTTTACATTAAAAATATCTCAAATAGCAATACCTACCCTGGGTATCAACCTTGTGCCTTTCAACATAGCCAAGCCGGTTTGGTTGAAGTCACTTTAGAATGCTAAATGACATCATGAAATGTGATCCACAGAATCATTGAAAAAAAAAAAAACACTCTGAATTCTTGTGCCTATTGATGAAATGAGGTAGCAACAATAAACGTAATTTTTAGAAAGAAAAAGAAAGACTCATGTACTGCTGTACATACAATTTTGCATTTAAATGCTGCTTTTCAAGCCTTCATGGTGTTTTTTTTTGGGGTCCTTCCCATTGTTTCTCAAAACTTTCAATTATTTGAACAGATGCCTAGTATATCGTGTTGGTGATGTGCCACCATTTGGAAACCCAGCCCTTGCCCACGACATTTGGGTTATTTCTAGGTTCTCTTGGTAGAACTAACAGTTTGCTTAGCAACTTTCTGCAGATGATTTTAGTCCCGTTAATTTACCTCCTCGGCAACATTGCAGAGGCTGGGAGCTCCCAACTGTTGGGAAGGGCCCCTCCTACCACTTCTGTTCCGTTTGTTTGTAACCTTGTCAACATGGGGTGTTGACATTTATATTTTTAAGCATTTTAGCCCTGTACTGTCACAACCTCTATCTATTTACATGTAATACTCCCAAGCGGCCAGCCAACTTATTTAAACCATAAGCATTTTGTCTTTTATATTCCCCCAGGACGAGTTCACAATTTTAATTAGTCTGGAAATTCCGAGTGAGTTTACAGAGAGGGGGTTTTGGTAGGAAAACGCAGTCCACGGTGCTTCAACTTTGCTGGGCTACTTTTTCCAGCCACCAGCTGCATCTCTACATCAACTCAGCCGAATGCAGCACAGGACGCAGACTCTCACCTGGGAGTCTCTGGTTCCTGCTGGCTCACGGACTGACCCCTGGTTGGGGCTCTCACCAGGCCCCTTCTTGGCCGCTGATGTACCTGTGCCTTCATGAAAATGTGCCACGCCAATCAGGAGATTGTCTTGCTGCCAACTGATCTGCTTGCAGGGCCGTCCCCGCTGCACCCTAGCTGTGAGGGATAAAAGCTGTTTCCAATTTTCAAAATGGGAGGAAGCACCCAGCGCCTCTCTGCGTCACACATTCACACGAGGCGGGGGCCCGTCTTCCTCTGGCCTTCCTGGTTTTATCAGAGGCTCGATTGGAGCTTGTCTCTCGACTTTGGAATTGTGACAGTGTCTCTTGTTGGATGCCAGACATTGCAGAGGCTAAAAGTCCACTTCTGTAAAGTTCCATTTCCTGAGTGTTTACCCATATTTTGTGCTTTCCTGCAGTGCTGCTGTCTTTATGTAGTAGAGTCTCATGACTTTGGAAGTCAACATAAGTGTCCCCTTTTCACCACAGAGGAGGCCATTCAAGCCTGAGACCACGGATGCCCAGGATTGTTACGTAATTGTCTCTCTGCAAGTCCATTCTGCATCCCTGTGTGCCCTCCCTCCCTGCGCTCCCGGCCTTCCCTGCTTTACTTTCTATTTCCAGACTTGTTTAGGCTTCTCCAAGGATTCCGAATTTACCTGACAGTGGCTTTCTCTTGTAAGTCCTTTAAACATGATTTGTGAGATTGGTTCATGAAAAAAAAAAAAAAAAAGGTTCCAACATTGCATTGAGACAGAGTTGATCTTAGAAATGTTTGCTAAACGATTTTCTTTTAAATAAGATGGATTGCTGTTTTTATTACGAAGTTCAAATGCATGCTTAGCGTTTCAGCTTGGGGAAAGGAAATATCAGACAAGCATTCATGACCAAGTTCTACCAATCAAAGCAAGTTGCATAAACATTCTGGAGTATTTTTTCCTATTTCTAAAATGTATTTTAAAATTTATTTGTGTCTTTTTGTTTTAGTTTTATGCAGTTGAGCTTATACTTTGGGCATAATTCTATGTATTTCAATCTACATAACATCTTTTAAAATCTTCTCATGCTTTTTAAATCATGTATTTGATAAACAGATATACTGTAGTGACTTATGCATTTTATTGTTATTAGAGAGTTAAGGTTTTTCCCTGACCACAATTCATTAATAGAAATGATGATTTGGTAAGTAATGTTGGTTTTAAATTTTGAGAGATGGTTTGGTTATTTCCTTAATATTCCAAGGAGAATGCTGAGCTCCAAGAATCTGGAGAGTTCTGTGTCTCTGGGTAGTTACTGGCTGTCCATATGCCTGACTTCCATCCACACCGTGGGTTTTCTTTGGGGAAAGCAGGTGTGTGTCCCCTAGGTGGATTTCCTGTGAATCAGTATATTTCCCAGGTGATATGCCTATCTGGCACTCAGCAGTGCTAATCTTACCAGGGACACGGTTAAAGTTCCGGGGCCTAGAAGGCCCCTGCCAGTCTGGAACCGAGACAGAAGGGGACAGGAGCCCGTGTCAGCGAAATGAAAAAGAACAGGGAGAGACCAGCTAAACTTTGGGTCAGCTGGTTGCGCCAGCCTTTTGGTGTTAATTGTTCTGCAGCTGAAGATGCTCCTCAGAAGGCTCCCGGACTGGCTTGCTGTGCTGGGGGGAGAGCTCAGAATTCTCGGCCTGGGTTGCTGAGGTGGGGCCTTCAGAGCTGGTTCTGGGGAATCTTGTCTGGTGTGGCCCGGATTTGAAGGACTCTGTGATGTAGTGGTTGGCTTTTTTGCTTCTATCCCTTCAAACCTGCTCATGGGGACACTGAGAGACCTTTGAATGATTTAGGAACAGTTTAGTATGTTGTCCTGTTTCTTAAATGGGAATCTAGACAATAACTGTTGTTTAAAGTAGAAGTCTCAATAAATCACAGTGATCACAAACCCTTTGACTCAGAGATTAAAATTTTAGGGATTAATTCTAAAGAAGAGCAATACTTGAGAGTGGACTGTTGAGAAGTACTTTGTGATGGTGTGTGTGTGTGTGTGTGTGTGTGCATGCACGCACGCCTGCGTGTGTTTAGGCATCAGGAGTTTGGGAATCTCCAAACTGCATTCACATGCTAATGGAGAAATTCTGCTCTTAAAAGCAAACAACTTAAAAATACTTAACCTCAATCCTTCCAGCCCTGGTCACTGGCTTTTGTATTTGTGTGGATGTCTATTTGTGTCCCCCCAACACGGAAGAATAAAGTGGAACCACAATATCTGGAGTCAGAGGGCAAGGCCCTCTAGCTACCATGACATAGTAGTGTAGGAAAAACGTAGTTGACTTAAACAATATAAAATATTTGAGGGGCGTGATTCCATTTCTGTTAAACCAACATTTGTGTTATCAGTCCATATAAATTACGTACTGAGGTACGGGTGACTCTTTGCCTTAGTGCTTACCTATATTCCCACACTTTCTATAATGAAAGTAAACTCTAATATTTTATTTTTATTTTCTTAATATTTTTTTTTAGTTTTTGATGGACCTTTATTTTATTTATTTTTATGTGGTGCTGAGAATCAAACCCAGTGCCTCACACCTGCTAGGCAAGCACATTACCACTGAGCCACTATCCCAGCCCCTCTAATACTTTTAAAAAGTAAAAAATGGTAAGAGAAAGAAAAATGTACCAGTGATCCTGAACATGCCCGGTTATCTCACTGAGTGTTACAGTCCTGCTGTGAGCAGTCTAGGGTGCAGTGACGGATCTAGAAAGTTCTCTTGGTTTGACATATAGACAGGAATAAAATAGCTTTGAAGATCTATCTACAGGAACAGGTTGGAGGTTTCGGGGCTGTGTGGCACAGAGAAAAATACATCTGAGAAACAAAAGGAGGTAGATTTATTTTTCTTTTGAATAGCCATTTGCTTGTCTGAATTGCCTTTCAGCGCTGTGTGTGTACAAACACCATCTCCCTGTGGCTTCGACCAGGTGAGCATTCAATAAGAGGCTTCCCTCCGCTGGGGTTTGACTTTCTGCCAAGGTTGAATAACAAACTCCAATTGTTCAACTCCTCACCTCTCCACCCCGATGCACCCATATTAACCTTGAGCATTCACACTGGCTTTTGCAAAACCTGGCGTTGAATATATGACAAGCCCCATCCTACATTTCTTTTATGATTGCTTGCAAAAAACTTGAACTCAATGATCAGCGCAAGTATCTCTTTATTTATCCATCTGATCCCTGCTAATGTAAAGTTTAAACAATGTACAATTAGAAAAGTAAAATTATACACCCCATATGACTGTAAACAATTATACTCATTAAAGACCTTGTATGAAATAGTTAGATTCAAAAAATATCAGCAGCATCGACAAAACTGTTGAGTAGAGAGAAATCCTGGGTTTTAGCAGCAGTCTCTTAGAATCTGATGATAACATACTATCTTAAATAATTTCTAAAGTTGGGTGGTGCTCTATTGGGGGGAAACAATTAAAAGCGTGCCACCTATAGAAAATAAAAAATACTAAGAAAAATATCAAAACAATCCATCCACTGACCAGCAGTCTAAATGAGAGCAAGGATACTGTGACCCTCCAATTATAGCACCATGCGCTGGCTTCATCAATAATATTGCAGAGAAAGGGCTTGACCACATCTCACTCTGGCTTTTACCTTCGAGCCAGGCAAATGCATTGATAAGGCTCAAGACTCTGGAGAGCAAAGCTTCACCACTTGGCCTGGAGGGGTACTTGTGACCTCAAAAGCATTTATACTGATACATAAATAGGCAGGCAGAGGAAAGGCCTTTGTCCGCATTTGGTCTGGTCAGAAAGAAATTTCTCTTAGGAGTCACAAGGCATTCGCTCAGGAAGTTGAAAGGAAGAGGTTCCTCTTGGGACTTCCACCAAGGGGACACCCTTTTATGGAGGTTAGAAGAGGAGAATCCTGTACACATGGTACAGTGAGGTTGGTCTCCCTGGAGGTGTTATGCAGGGTGGACCCCAGATCCTCCCTTCAGCAGTAGCACCTGACATAGGGAATGTCGGGGGGCAGCATTGCTTAACAATACAGGGATCAATAAGAACAAAAATGCTCTTGGTGAAAGAATGTGTTGCAGTGGCCAAAGCCCAGCCAGACCCATTTTGATTCCCTTCCTCACCCATCTGAGTGGGATCCAGGGCAATCTCTGGTCCTCTCAGAATTATTTTCTTTAAAATAGACCAACCACACTCAAGTCACTCAGACTGTATCCTCCTGAAGATGAAGGCTGTGGCTGGGGTCTACTAGATGCTCACCTCCAGAGCAAAATGGACTCACCTGCCCCCAGGAAACAGAGGTCACTAACCACCATGGGACAGCTTCCTGGGTGCCCAGAGCTCATCTGTAAAGTAGGCACTTTGCAGCGTATCTCTTTGATAGTCTAATAAAGAACTGCCTGACCCTGCATCTGCAGTTAGAGCTGCCTTTCTGTGGTCTGTGGAATTCACTCTGTAGTTGAGGGGGCCGTCTGGCAGGGGGAGCCGTAAAAGTGTCAGAGCCTTATGAACGGCCTGGAGGTGGGATCCCGTTGTTCTGTGCTGGGCAGTGAGGGGGACTGATGGTGTGCGGGCTGCAGGCAGTGTTGAATCTCCCTCCATCTGTGCAGGGGGGATGAGGACAGGCGAGCAGAACCAGAAACCAGCTAGCTGCTCCAGCCATCCCAGGGAGAGGCAGTGTCCAAAGGCCCCGATGAGATCACCTCTTGCCCCCAGGGAGCCCTTCTCTCATTCCAAAGTACAACATGCCAGGTTTAATCCTAAGCCATCAGTGAGGTGGGTCTGAATTCACTTTCTCAGAGAATGACCTGATTTCTGTGGCTGTAAGCTAGCAGCAGACTGTATTAATTTGACTGTTTTTATAGGTCTTTTGCATGCAGTGTTAAGCACACAGCTCCACCATCTAATTAAGAGGGGCCCTTATCAATTTGCAGGATAGTTGCCTACAGGAAAAAAAAAACATATATATATATATGTAAAACATTACACTGAATCCTCCATTCCTAAGAGGTAAGCATTAATCAAAGAATGAGACTATCCCCAATTAATCACCGATCTTGCCAACAGGTTGTAACATATACATGAGGGACTTGTGGAGGAGTCCTTGCTTTGAGAACTATCTTTGGTTCCCACCCAGTTCACTTTCTGGAATTAAATAGCAGAGAAACTTTCTGAGGACTGGATTCAAGAGACAGTTATGCCCGGGGACTTGCCCTCTAGCATGCCGACCCGGCTATCATTTCATCCTTGGTCTGGATAAGGTGGGCTTCTTTTGGGGGGGCCAACAGAAGTGAAGGAAAGAGCCCACAGGAAGTAGGACCACCAGATGAGGCTCAGAGTGTGGGCTGTCCAGCTGGAGGGCAGTGGACGACATGTCAGGAGTGGACAGCCCAGCCCAGACCCTGCCCTTGCATTGCTAAGCAGCCTTGAACCAACTGGGCTAGACTCTTGACTTGAAAGAAGTCTGTGCCCCTGGGAAGCCACGTGGACCACCGGGACCATGCAATGAGTTTCGGTTAAAATCCTGGCTCTACAGCTGAGCAACCCTCAGGATGAAATGACCCTTTCTATGCCTGTAGAGTTGATCTGCAGATGCCCTCTCCATTGAGTTCCTTTTAAAGAAAGATTGGAAAAAAAAAATCAATCAAGTGTATGAAAATAGTTC